ATGACATCTCCGAAAGTATATCGTCTCTACCAGGATACTTCTGTAGCATCATCTTTCATTATGTCAATTTTGATTACTTTGCTCGTCAACTAAATTTAACACGGACTTCCTTGGGAAATAAAACATGGAATTCTATTCCATCATGAGCTTGAAGAGAATAATTTAGTTCTTTTCTTAGAATGTTTGGCTATTGTATGGAAGCTAACTGATCCTTAAACAGAAACCCTTTAGCACAGGCCTCAAATATACGAGCTTTCTTATTTGTTTTATTTGATAATGTGTTATTCTATTTATGTTAATTTGTTTTAGATAAAATTTGTGCAACTGCCGCTTTAATTTGTGCTGTTGGCAGACTTTGAATTTAGGCTTTTGAAGACTGATTCTATTCTTATCTTGATGCTGTTTCTGTTGCCTCTTTTTACTGTTAGGGGTACGTCGGCAATAAGTCAGCTGTCTTTCCTCTTCAACTATTGGGCTATGATGTAGATCCAATCAATTCAGTACAGTTCTCAAATCACACAGGCAAGCTGCTTATACTAAGTCTCAGAAATCTGAGGTCTGAAATATGGTGCGACACCATTTGTCAACTTGTACAAGTTCAGACATCGTATACTAGTCAAAAGTTTAAAACCAGTTGTTTTTCAACCATTTTAAAAATTTTGCAGGATATCCTACTTTTAAGGGTCAAGTTTTGAATGGAGAGCAACTATGGACTTTAATAGAAGGTCTTGAAGCTAATGACTTATTATGCTATACTCATCTTTTGACAGGTATCTTAAGATGCTCCATTCCTTATTTGATCTGTTGGAACTTACATGTAATGCTCTTATTGCATCATATTTTTTTTTGGTGATGGGCTGTATGACATTTCCTAAATGAAAGAGTTTATGACATAATGAAAAAAGAATGTAGGAGAGCAAAGTAATTGACGCCTGGCCAACACCAAAAACTAAAAGAATTAGAAGTTTATTTGCACATTTCAAATTTTAAACCTGTCGAAACCTTATCAATTAATAGATTATATGATTACTGAAATAGATATGTATATATCTACAGGTATAACATGATTGTTCTTTGATGCAGTTTTTAGGCAGGCTAGTTTCTCGTTATCTCAAATTTTTTTGGATTTATTTTCTTAAAACTTGATATGATGAAGTAATAACCTGATTTACTTAGATAAACTAGCAACGTACCTGATAAAAACTTAGCAACATACTTGATAAAAACTAGTAGAGCTTTGTTAAACCATATTAAAAGCAAGTATTCACAATCTTCAGTTATATGATTGTCAATTTTATGTTTAGTTCATGGGATACATTGCATTCCTTTCCCCACTCCCTCCTCTCTGTATTTTTCTTTATCCGGAGATGTCTCACTGCACTACATTGCAGTTGCATTTGATTTTGTTTATCATATTTTTGCAGGTTATATTGGTTCGGTCTCATTTTTGAACAATGTGTTAGAAGTTGTTAATAAGCTTCGCTCTGTGAATCCAAATCTTACATATGGTTAGTAAATAATAAGATATTCAAATCTCACTGTGTTTTACTTTCACACAATAGTCATACTTTTGTATATTCATGTTACATGTGAGGAACTTGGTTCTCCAGTTTGCATTTCTGAATTTCTAACAAGCATCAATTTTACTGTTAAGACTATGAGCATTTCAATCTTTGTTATTCACATATTTGCTAATTTGTTCTTTCTATTGGTTTACTTCTAATTTTTGTTAATCAAAATAAATTAAAATTGTGACTTTCTTGCGAATATGGCTAGAGAACATTTCTATCTAAAGTCCCCAGTTGCTAAAGTGTTTCCTTTTTGTCGTAGTTTGTGATCCAGTGATGGGTGATGAAGGAAAACTATATGTCCCTCAAGAGTTGGTATCAGTTTATCGTGAGAAGGTGAGCAATCTAATTGAACTTTATCTCTTTGAACACTTAAATCAGCTATCTAACTTGGTCTAAGGTAGCTTAAGCAAAATTGTCATATTGTATTGTTAAGGGGCCTTTGACGCTTAAGTCATGGAGCAAGCTAATCCCTTGCTTTCTTTATTTTTGGCCTTGTCAGCCTATGGCTCATTGAAGAGAACCTCTTATATTTAGAATATAAACTGTTGTTTACTTTAATTGATGGTGGGTGGATGCTTTTATTGGTAATAATGGTCTTATTTATAAGGGAGCAAATTGTGGAAATGTATATTAGTAAAGTAATAATACTATGAATTATGCTAATATATTTAGAAATTGTTGAATATTTGAATAAGGAAGATTTGGTATTACATTACCCGATTCTTCCATATTTCCTTCTTAAGTCAGTAGGAGACCTTCCAACATTAGGATCGAAAGTTTCTTCTGTTTTGCTTCTACTGTGTATTATGATATAATTTTCTTTATCCAATGAGAATAATTTTTTGTGTAAAGTCTCCCAAAATATTACACTAAACATTGTTAGGCCCTTATTATAACTCCAGCATTCTTACAAGATGTTTTATCTTATTCTAACTCATAAGGCATTAGTAAACCTATCTTATTAAAACTCCTGAAGTATTTTCTACTTATTTGTTGATCGTCATCCAAAAGAGTCCATATGAGGATTGACCTCCCCTTTGTTGCTGCTATGGGTCTGTGTTTTCCAAGATGTATCAGTTGGGGAGGAGCCCTCCCAATGCACCCGAACTTTTTGCTGTTCAGTCTGCCTGCAGTAATCCTAAATAGCCCCTGGCAGAGTTAGGAGCTCTTTCTGAATTGTTCATAGTGAGAATGGTTGCACCGATGCATCACCATGAAATCTTTTAAGGCAAGACACATGGAAGACAATGCAAGCGGGAGTGTTCTAGTAAGTCTAGGCAGTACGCCACCTCTTCATTCGCTCCGTGATTCCAAAAGCACCATAGAATCATGGAGCGAGCTTTTGATAAGGTTGTCGTGGCAAAGAGAGTTGTGATAAGGTTGGAGATGCAAGAACACCTTTGTCTCTTAGGTGACTTCGATGATGAGTCATATGCAAATTTCATAGTGGCTTGAGCTTGAAAGAGGTGATCATGAGATCTTCGATGATTTGGTCTAGGTTACGAAGCTCAATCTCCACAATTTGGACTTTGGCTAATCCAGTGCAGTAAGATAACAATTTTGGTGGGAACATTTGATATGACCTTAAAAGGAGTTGTTCTCAAGGAGTTGTAACCTGTGTTATTAGCAATATTCTTTCCAAGAGAGCCAGTCGGGTGTCAGGTTCCTTACACACATACTCAACCAAGGATTATGGTTAAGAATAGTAGAGTAGCAGTAGGGAGAAGAAGAAGAAGAGAAATGAGAGAGAAATGAGGGAGAAAAGAGAGGAAGAAGAGAGGAAGAGGGAAGAAAAGGAGAAAGACCGATAATTTTCTGGTAATTGAAATAAGTAATTGCGTAAGTGTTTTGCATTGTTATGTTCTAGTGTTTTCTATCCATTAATACTGATTCTACTTCCCAAATAAGACAAATGACAGCAAGAAAATAAATCAGAANNTTTGATGGTGCAATTAACTATTCATTTGATTGTGGATGGTAGGTAGAGCTAAATGTGAGCTTATTGCCTGAGAGGCAAAAAAGTTCTTTTAGAAAAGTGCTCGTAAAGGTCATGTCATGATCACCAATGATGAACTGAGATCTTGTAATTGAAAGGTAGAATCAAGGAAAAGGCAAGCAACAATGACTGCCTTGTATGGATGTGCCAGTGAGAGGAGTTAGTACATTTCCACCAAAGGGATGTTCTTCTTCTACCGGAGAAGGTACTTTCGACGAAATTCATCAAAATATTGGTCCATATTTGTTCAGGCACAACCAAAGGTTCTGGCTGGCTGCAGTTGCTTGATTTTATATCACTCACAAGTTACACAAGTATTCACAAAGTCTTGCACCTGTTGTTTCTGCCCCTTTTAATAAGCACTTTTGGCAATGAGCATTGTCTTTTGATACCATTTCATGATCTCGGTTATGGAGGGCTGAGAGAATGGCTGGATTTTGTGGCAATGGAGGCGACAAAAGGACATGCTTGTTGTGAAATAATAAGCCATTACAGAGTTCCCACAAGTCACTTGGTTCCTTATGCTGGAGCTAAGCCATAGTTGTTGTAGAGTGTCTGACGATGTAACGTCATCTTGTATAGCCTGGAAATCATCCAACTGAGACTTGGATAGTGAAGCTAGGGTGCGTACCTCCTCAAATTGGAAACAGAGCCGTCAACCACAATATTCTCCTCCCAATAGAGTACTCTACCATAAAAACGAATCCCATTAACTTGGTTATCCAAATTTTTTGAGGAGAATTTGTCCCTCTTTGTTCAAGGAAAAACTTCAAACTATAATGAGCAGTAGGTACCACGAAAAATTGACCCTGGAGATATGGCTTCCAATGTTTCACCAATTGAGCTAATATGACTAACTCTTTTTCATATTTTGGAAGCTTATGGTGTCTTCTTGCCAAAACCTTGCTGATGAAGGCAATCGGTTTCCCTCCTTGCTGCATAATCGACCTTATACTACAATATGAGACATCACATTCAAAGATGAAGGGCAGCATGGGCGTGGTTGTCATTGCTTTCTTTAGTTACTTAAAGCATCTAAATGGTCCCCTGTTTATTCCATACTCATTCACAAACTTACTACAGTAGCTAATCAAACCTAAGAAAGCCACCAGGCTTTTAATTGTAAACTGAATTCGGCCAATTAAATATGGCCAAAGTCTTTGAACCCTTTAGCTGAAACCATGTGCCCCAAAGATGACACTTGTGCTTGTCCAAAAGAAACACTTGGATTGTTTCATAAATAAATTATATTGCTTCAGTAATAAGAAAACTGACTTTAGGTGCCTCATGAACTCCAACCATGTCTTCCTGTAAATCAGAATGTCGTCAAGGAAAACCAGCAATAATTTTGCAAATAGGGTTAAAAGATGGTGTTCATAAGTGTTTGGATGGTGGATGGTGCATTTATGAGTCCAAAAGGCATTATCAGAAACTCAGCATTGATGATATTCTGAAGGCTGTTTTCTCGATGTGATTAGGATGCATTTGGATCTGGTGGTATCCCAAATACAAATCAAGTTGGGGGAATAATGGCGCACCAAGTACAGAAAACCTCCACATTCCATTAGTCTTTTTTGCCGGCAATTCAGAGAAGAGAAAGATCTAAATCCACGTAGTGGAAGAACAAACAGCTTCAAAAGGAACATGTAGTCATTGAGCACCAATTGCGCCTTCCTGCTAATATTTTCTACTTCTCTGTCGATTGCCAACAGAAACCTAGTGAGGATCTTTGTTGTTGCCGTGGGACCTATGCTGGTAGTTTTCCTAGTAAACCTATCCAGCAGCAACCGTTCCTTCTAGCGTGTAACATATTGGTTTAAATATGCTTTC